ACCTCAATGTTTTCATCCTCCTCCTCATCTTCACCACCGGAAGATTCTTCCTCTGCCTCCTTCAGCCATTTTATAAATGGCTCTGCTTTGACACGAATCTCTTTGGCAAGTTCTTTCGAAACGTACTTCTTAGAGGCCTAAACAAAAATTCACATGGTATTTTCTTGGGGGGGGACTTAAGTTTGCCAAGCCATTCCATAGCTCCAAACCTGCTCAATCCCCACCTTTTCTGACCAGCTGATGATGACCTCCTCTTCCAACAGGTCTGCATCATACATCTCCTTCAAGATATGTGGGATCTTGGAAAGGAGCTGAGCCTGATGCATCGCCACCACACACTCCAAACCATGAAGAAGGTACCGCTGAGCTTTTTTGTTGTTGTGACAGAACTGGAAGTAGGTGATTGGGATTAGCTTTTTCACCATGTTCTAAATTGGCAATTTCATTATCCAAGCACACCCACTGCCGTGTTTTTTGTGGAAAATGTGGCTCAGTGTTAAGGACACTTGCCTGGCACACACAAGATGGGTGCCACCCCTAGCACCACCAAGTTATTTAAGGTACCACCCATTCAACCACGGTTTGACAAGGTCAATACACAGCCGGGAACGCTATCTATCACACACACACTTGCAGCCCCAACACGTTCCAACAGCGAGGCAGGGAGGACGCATGTTTGAGCCCAGCCTGTGCAACCCAGGAATTTGCTGAGACCTAAGCTCAATTCACAAAGGGCCTAGGATGCAGCCAAGGATCTGGCTTCAATCTTCAGTCACATGAGAAAGTCAAAGCAGGTTTTTATGACATCTGTAAAAGCCCACGTGCAGTACTTGTAATCATTCACAGGTGTTAGGCCCAGTCAAAGCACACTGGCTAAGCCAAGCAAAAGCTACGGCTCCAATCACACAGCTATAATCTCTCACAGCTCTAAAACAACCTGCTTACTCTGAGGAAATGACGCCTGTATTTCTTAATTTGTTCTCTAATCTTCTCGTTAAAAAGAACTTCAGTCAGAACAAGAGGGCCCATGGCTTTTACATCTAGTCTTTCTGCTTCAGCAACAATTTCTTTGTCGGATGAATCAATAATGCCCTCTTCTTTCTTTTTCTGTAAACAAAAGGTAAACAATTCAGTAAAAAGGCAGCCACATCTCACTAGACTGGACATACCAGAGAATACTTGGCTCTCTTGGACATCTTTCCTATCTGTGGCTTCTAAATGATACATAATTCCTACAGAAAGTATCTGGAAGCCCTCTCCAAAAATCTTCTGAAATAAATGGTAAACTGAAAATAGGCTTTGTAGTATTCAATATACCTCAGGTACTTAGCAATTACCAACGTCAAAATAACAAACACCTGGTAAGACAAAGCTTGGCTTGAAACCTATTGAGGATTAAGTACGTTTCACACCTTAACAAAATCAAACAGGATATTCACACGCTCTTCTACAGTTCTTTCCAGATCGTCACTGAGCGTCAAGACTTTGGCATGGTCACTGATTTCGTCCATCCTGCGCCGCTGCGCCTCCTCAGTTGTATCCTCACCCCAGTCATCATCCTCCTCCTCCTCCACAGCCCGAGGGGGCGGGCTCATCTCACTTGGGGGTGGCGGGGGTGGGGTCTCACTGCTGGACAC